TATTGGATTTTGGAGGGAGCTGGGATACATACCTCCCATTGGTAGAGTTTTCGTACAATAACAGTTATCATGCCAGTATCGATCGGGCTCCATTTGAGATGTTATATGGTCGGAGGTGCAGGACTCCGGTTTGTTGGGACGAGGTTGGGCACCGGGTCATGGGGAGCACTGAAGTAGTGCTCAAGACTACCGGGTTGATTCAGTAGGTGCGTGACCGGCTGCGGGTCGCGCAGAGCCGTCAGAAAAGTTATGCTGACCGGCGGAGATCGGATCTTGAGTTCCAGGTGGGGGACTTTGTCTTACTGAAAGTGTCGCCATGGAAGGGGGTTATCAGGTTTCGGAAGAGGGGAAAGTTAGGACCCCGATTCATCGGCCCATTCAGGATTTTTACCTGGGTGGGCAAGGTAGCATATCGACTAGACCTGCCAGATGAGCTTAGCCAGATTCACAACACCTTTCATGTGTCTCAGCTTTGGAAGTGTGTTACCGATGAGTCCGCATTCGTTTCGTTGGACGACATCCAGGTGGATGAGAGAATGAACTACATCGATACACCTGCTGCCATCTTAGGTAGGAAGACTAAGGTTCTTCGGAACAAGGAAGTGAAGTTGGTAAAGGTGCAATGGCAGCACCGCAAGGGCTCGAGTGGACCTGGGAGCCGGAGGACGAGATACGGGATCACTACCCGGAATTATTTGGATCAGCGGACTTCGAGGACGAAGTCTAGTTCAAGTGGGGGGAGACTTGTAACACCTGTTCCAGGTATTACTTAATTTAATTAAGATTTAGGGTTTTGGTATGTGGACTCGGCGAGTTGGGAGTCCAACTCGTCGAGTAGAGGACATTTCAAGGACGCGGAATCTACACCTTACTCGACAAGTTGGAAGGACAACTCGACGAGTAGGCGCTGTAATGATAAAACCCTAATTTTAGGGTTTGTACCCTATATAATCTCCTTATGAGCCTTGAGGCTGACCTCCCATCAGCCTCCAAACCCTAAAAACGTCTGTGCTAACCCTAATCCCTATTCTCTTCCATTTTGTGAGCTAGAGTGACCTTTGAAGCTTAAGAAGAAGGAGATAGTGAGAAGATCCAGCAAACCAAGCACCCATCCTTGAGCTTAATCATCTTGTGGACTGCTGTAAGTCTTCAAGACTCAATTTTTATCATATAATATGGCTAGATCTTGAGTTTACTCTTCATTTCCTGCCCTTCTTATTGAATGCATGCATGAGATTCATAAAGTTTGCAAGTTTATGAATCTACAGAGCAAAATGGTCCCAAGGTGGGCTAGATCTGGCCTTTGGTTGAGCAAGGACACCATGCAAGGGTTTTAGGGCTTATTTCCCTCTTTTTGGCCATTTTGGCCTAGGGACATGTATTGGACATGCATGTCCATAAAGCCTCCATATTTAGAACGTTTTGAGCACTAGAAACCTTTTTGGAAGGGAGGGATTTTAGATCCCTAGAGTTTTGGACCATATGGCAAAGCGTTGGAGCTTTCCAACCTTTGTTAAGGGCCTTGGAGCATTTGGAACGGTTCTAGAAGGTAAAGTTGGAAACTTTATCCTTCTAGACACCTTAGGGTTTTAGATCTAAGCCCTGGAGTCCCTGGATTCGATGTATCATCACATCAAGCAAAAGGAAGGGGGACTCAACGAGTTGATCTAGGAACTCGACGATTCGAATCGAGTTTCCCCGCTTTCTGAATATCAGGTGAACTCGTCGAGTTGATGAAATAACTCGGCAAGTTGGCTAGGGTTTGATCAGGTTGTCTGGATTCGGCAGGAACGCGACGAGTAGCTAGATGCACTCGACGAGTTGAGGTTAACATGGATTGTTGACTTTGACTTTGACCATGGTTGACCTTGAGGGTAATTTTGGGATTTTGACAAGTCCATCTTATGATGCTTACAGGCAGTTGAGTCGGGGCAATACGTGGGTCATATCTGATTCTAGTTTATCAGCACAACATTCGTGAGAGGTGAGTCTCCTCACCATACCAATGGGTCTAAGGCACCAAGGCCGGCCCATTATATGATGTGTAGTATCCTAGCTGAGATTGTATTATGTGACTTGTTACTTGGTATGAGCTATGAAGTATGTTATTGGTATATGTGGTATGTTGTATGGAAGACCATGGGAGAGCCCATGACACTTGGATGTAAGACCATGTGGAGAGCCCATGGCTTTCCTATCAAAGACCATGGGAGATCCCATGGCACTTAGGTGTAATACCATGTGGAGAGCCCATGGCATCCTGGAGTAAGACCCTCGGGACGAGCCCACGACATCCCTATATGTTGTATACATGACTGGTGTGATATGTGTAGCTGCTATAGCTAGTATGATATGTTGTATGTGATTTGTGTGTGGGTATGATCTGGGGAGCTCACTAAGCATTAGCTTACAGTTTGTGGATTTGTTTCAGGTACATCTGAGCCCAAGGGCAAGGGCAAGGCTTGATGGCGCGGCATGCACTCTTCTCACCAACATTTTATGGGACACTCTGATGTTTTTTGAATAAAGTTGTAATGAATTCGAAAACAATTGTTCTGGGATTTCATGGTTTATGGAAATGGTTTGGTTAATTAAAAATGAAAATTTTATTTTCAAAATTTGGGTCGTTACACAAAGCATATTCAAACTTTCTGTACCCAAATAGAAAGATTTCATTCCAAATATGAGTCTAAATATGAGTTATCAGAAACGTTAAGAATCACTTTTTGTGAAATGAAACATAATCCCCTCTTAGAAAACTCAAGAAACATTGTAGATTTGAATATTCATTACTTTGATAAGAAATCGGAAAAGAGAAAGTTAAAACGTACACTTAGAAGGAGCAGCAACAGACTTGGTATCAAACCCAACGATTAAAGTAAGCATGGGGACAAAAATGCCGCCACCACCAAAACCACCAATTGTACTCAAATAGGGTTCTCTTTTAATAATATTTAGAGATACTAAAAAGTATTTATCAACTTATAATGTTTAGACACCGCATAAGCTAATCTAAACATTTTTTTTAAAAAAAAAACTTCATTTTCGTACCACTATAAGCTAATATCCTAAAAAGTGTTTATCAATTAATATAAGCATTTCTAAACACCCTTTTAATATGCGAGCTGGAAACTAATTTTCCCCGAGTATCATAAAAAATGTAAAAGTCACCCTAGTAATTGACCTTCACTTATTAGTTATGAAGCAAAATCAACCATTTCATCAGCTTTAACCTGCAATCATATTTCACGGTTCAGATTTCAATACAAACTCTTTAAAGACTATTCAAAACAATAAATACAACCCAAAATTTTAGACCTGCAAACTGCTATATTTAAACAATACAGATTTAAGCAAATCTAGATATTAGTAAAATAAAACACTAACAATGATAGTAAGAATCATTCGAAGAAAATATCGTTATTATAAGAGATTGATTAATAAAATATGGTTGTAATACTATGTGATGAAATCTTAAATTAGATGAGAAATAAAGTCCACTTTATGAGTTACATATTACATATTTTCTATTAACCATAAGGAAACATAAGTACAACTCCATTATAATTAAAAAAAATACAAATCATTCCTTAGACTATATGCCAAGTCATACCTTGCAATAGGGATGAGAATTTGGCCGGAAAACCCGAACCGAACCGAAACCCGAACCGAATTAGGCCCGAATAAGCAATTCGATTCGGTTTTCGGGTATCTATATGAGGCTTATTCGGTTTTCGGGTTATTCGGTCCGGGTTACCCGAATAAGGGCTTATTCGGGCCAAAAGGACCGAACCGAATTTGAAAAGTCACAATTTTTATTTTCTGTTTCAGCATGTTGGCAAATTTTTAGCCAACTTTGAAGTGTCATAACATCTTCGTTATTTGTCCGATTAGACCGATTTTTTTTCCAGCTTGTAGTTCACAAATTAAACTACAATTTACACTACTTAAATGCGTTATTTGGTTGTATATTCAGTGAGATACAGACCCCTAAACATGAGGTATTAAAGTTGAGTTTTTCTGTTTCAGCATGTTTGCAAACTTTTAGCCAACTTTAAAGTGTCATAACGTCTTCGTTATTTGTCCGATTAGCCTGATTTTTTTTCGTGTTTGTAGTTAACAACTTAAACTACAGTTTACACTATTTAAATGCATTATTTGGTTGTATATTCAGTGAGATACATGCCTCTAAACATGGGGTATTAAAGCTGCGTTTTTTCTGTTTCAGCATGTTTGCAAATTTTTAGCAAACTTTGAAGTGTCATAACGTCTTTGTTATTTATCTGATTAGCCTGATTTTTTTTCAAGGTTGTAGTTCACAATTTAAGCTACAATTTATACTATTTAAATGCATTATTTGGTTCTATATTCAATGAGATACATGCTCATAAATAAGGGATATTAAAGCTGTTTTTTTTTTACAAAAAAAAATACTAACATTTACTTTATTATAATAGATCCTACATATGTTCGAGATGTTTTGACCCCCGCAAAAGAAGATTTCAAAATTTGTAGAGCTATGGTTGGATTTCTAGATAAATTCAAGGTGAAATACGACATAGTATCGACGTCAACAAAACCGATGGCACATCGTTTTTTTTGGAGAAATATGTTATGTGTACAAACATAAATTCTAACTCTTTTTGCACATTTGAAAAAATTATATATACTTTGTATTATTTTTAATTAACAAATTTGTTTCTTTAAAATATTTGTTATGAAATCATAAACTACAAAATTCATACAGAATACAATATTTATAATCACATTGTAAATGTTATTTGGGTTATTCAGGTTATTCGGGTTATACAATCATAATACGGTTTATCCGGTTCTTTTCGGTTATAATAGGTTCTTAATCATCTTGTACATGTTATTTGGGTTATTCGGGCCGGAACCGAACCGAACCGAATAATACCCAAACCGAACCGAATAACATCCCTACCTTCCAAAAGTCAGATGTTTCAATTTATATTGGATAAAGGGTGACTTAATAACTCCTAAAAGCTTGGAGCTTGAGGGTTACGGTCCACAAAACCATAATCAAAGTTGATTACTCTTCAAAACATAAAATCCAAATTGATTACTCTTCAAAACCCAAAAAATGGAGAAAAACATAGAAAAAATTAAGCTACTGATTAGAACAATAATAAAGAGAAAAATATGGAGATTCATTAGAAGTTACCTCTCAACATATTTCCAAATCTTCGAACGCCAGTTAACAAAGAGAGAATCTAATCATTTAAAAATAAATATGATATAGTAAAAATAATGTTCATAAAAAAATAGAAAGAGAGAGGGAACTTTTGACCGAATCTGAAACCTAATTCCACTCTGATTAATCTTCAAAATCGATATGCCAAAGAGATAAGTGGGATATACCAATAAGAAAATCAGAATAAACGTTCATAAGCTAAAAAATAATTTAAAAGAAAGATGGACTTGAATGTGAATACTATTTTTCAAATCGATAAATGTTCAAACCCTACAACCCAATAGAGAATCAACACACAATAAACACAGAAAATTGGGGAGAGAAATTTACCTCACAACAATCTTAAAAATCCAATCCAAATCCCAAACACCATAATTTGTAAACCTCAGTTATAAAATCTGTTGAAAATAGAGACAAGGGCAGGAACAAACGTACAAAGTGTGATGGATCGGGTAAGGTGCGTGGGAGGAGTAAGAAGAGTGTATGCATATAGAAGGAACAATCGAAAAAAAGAGTTGCAACTTATTTCAATTTGGGGTTTTAGGGTGGGGACAAAGGTGTTGATTTTGGGAGGAGAGGGAATTAGGTCAAATAATAATTCGGAGACCAAGAGGGAATATTCATTACTTAGATAAGAAATTGGGAAAGATAAAGTGAAAACGTACACTTAGAAAGAGCAGCAGCAGACTTGGCATCAAACCCAACAATTAAAGTAAGCATGGGGACAAAAATGTCGTCACCACCAAAACCACCAACTGTTCCAAATGCAGAACCCAAGAACCCTATTATCGTTGCCATAACAATTCTCCAATTCAACTCTAATTCCTGAATGAAAACATCAAAGATGAAAAACCCATTCGGTTATAGAATCAAAAGCGTCAACGATCATAATTACGGGACTTACAAGCCAGATTCTATCGTCGGAGGAAGAACACATAGCATCGGGGAAGAACACATAGGATCGATTTGATGTATGAAATCGATGGGTGACCCTTTCCGGTAAAAAAGAGGAATGATTAGGTTCAATTGAGAGAGAGAAAGAGGGTAGATGACGAAGGAAAGAAGAGAAGCGTGTAACGGTGTTTGAGTAATAAGGATGATGTCAGCAAACAATCCAACGGTGAAAAATTAAGGATTGAAATGTAATGAATGACCCTGATTTCTTAAGATTAGAATTTAGGGTTTTTTTTAATAATATTTAGAGATTGGAGAGTATGCAACAACCGCATGAAGCATGAAACCAAAACAAAATCTTATGTTGTATTTTTTTTTTTCAATCTCTTTTATATGTGATTGATAACGATATTTATACACAAAAATCATAACACTCACCATTATGATGATTAACTCGGTATTAAACACACATTTTATAACCGATGAATGTGTTTAACAATCACCATTATGGTGTTTAACTCGTTTAACTCATTTTTAAACACACAAACTATAACGGAAAATACGATTAATTTGACAAATAAAATCAAAAATTGTGTTTAACCTTTTTGAACAACAATTTTATTTCATGAGCACCTGATCAAATATCAATATTTTTAACATCACTATCTAGGGATTACTTTTTATTATTTTGTCTAGACAAGACATACACTTATGTTTAAAAACCTAATTTTCAAAAAAGATATATATTAATAATTAACAACAGTTGGCTGTAAATAATTTTGAGATCTTAAATTGTTTCCTACCTTTTATGCCTATAATTATTCCTACCCACTAAAATTATGACAAATCACCATCCAATTAATTTGTATTTGATATATTCCTAATATAGTCTTAATAAGTTAGTTAAAAAAAATATAGAATGATGACACTTGTCATAATTTTATTTGGTAGGAACATTTGTAGGCATAACAAGTAGGAAACAATTTAATTTCTCAATAATTTTTAGTTGTGAAATGTTTTTATTTAAAATAAAAAATAACACCTTTATTTTATTTTGGTCGGCCAACAAAGAATCAACAAGGGAAAATGACTTAAAAAGGTAACTATGTTTCAATTTTGTACAAAAAACACCATTTAAGTATACCCTGTTCAAAAAAATACCATCTAACAAAAGAATTTGTTCAAAAAATACCATCTAAAATCACATTTTGCTCTTTGATTCTATCGTGGTAACCGATTCTGCCGGTGAGGAGGTAAATGTTACCGGGAAGAAAAAAAATAAACAATTACGTGGCTTCTCCCTCTATTACGTGGAATAACCCTTTCGCAAAAATCAAAATCACATAGAACACGTTGGAGGTTTTTTCACAGACGGTGAAATTAGGGTTCGCTTTTCACGCCGATTTTTCACTCAAGGTGCAAGGTATGCTTACTGTCGATGTTTACCATGGTGGGAACTTTGTCCCTAAGCCATTAGTGTACTTTAATCCTTTGAAAAAATCTGTTACGGGAGTTGATTTCAAAAACATGGGGTTTAAGGAGTTCATCTTACAGCCTCGAAAATTAACCAAGGAAAGGTGCACTGATGTATATTATTGTCTTCAAAATCGGTCTGTGGTAGATGGATTGAGAGAACTAAGAGATGATAATGACTATGTAAGGTTTCTTGATGCTGGGTATGCCAATGATTGTAAAATCAATGTGTACATTGATGAATATCAAGAGCCAATCATGGAGTGGATTGACGAAGAAAAAGCTGAAGAATGGGACACAGAAAGTGATGAATATGAGGATGATGTAGACTCAATCATGTCAGATGATATATCAGTGGACCATGAACTTGATGATGAAGTTATTCCATTAAAGAAATCTACAGATCCGTTTTTGGCCCACACAAATGTTATTCCAAAGGGAGGGGCTAATGATGAAGATAGTGGCAGCACAGATGAAGTTTACTTTCCTGTTCATGATCCTAACCAACAATGGGACACAATGAAACCTGTCTTAGGTATGAAATTTTGTGATCGTTATGAACTTAAGCAAATGATTACCAATTATGCTGTTTCTAATGGTTACAATTTGTGGTATGAAAAAAATGATGCAAGTAGATTATTAGTTAGGTGCAGTAAAGTTGAAGGAAAGGCATGCTGCCCTTTTAGATTGTGGGCTACTTGGATGAGCCAAGAAAATTCATTCCAAATCAAGTCACTGATTGATGAACATAATTGTTGTAGAGCAGTAAATCTGGGGTCAATTGTCACATTTAGGTGGATTGGAAAAATGTTAATTCGTGACATATTGGAACAACCCAAGCTTAGTTACAGGAAAATGAAAGCGTTGGTGAAGACTAATTTTGGTCTTAATGTGAGTGTCGGGCAATGTAGAAATGCTAGAAGGTTTGCATTGGATGAAATTGAGGGAAGTTTGGTGGGACACTATGAAAAGCTATGGAACTATGGTGCTGAGTTGTTGAGGGCTAATCCGGGTTCAACAGTCCAAATAGATGTAGATATTATGCCTGATTCTACAGTGTACTTTTCGAAGATGTATGTTTGCTTGAAGGGTGTCAAAGATGGCTGGATTGAAAGGTGTAGGAGGGTGATTGGTATTGACGGATTTTTTCTGAAGGGTATTTGTAGAGGTGAGGTATTAGCAGCTGTTGGTAGGGACTCCAACAATCAAATATATCCCCTGGCATGGGCTGTAGTTGCAGTTGAAAACAAGCAAACTTGGAAGTGGTTCTTAGATTTACTACTTGATGACATTGAGATGGGAGATGGGACAGGGCTAACAATCATTTCTGACCAGCATAAGGGTCTAGTTGAGGCTGTAAAGGAGAGAGCACCAGGAAGTGAGCATAGGCAATGTGCTAGGCACATCTATGCCAACTTTAAGAAAAAGTTTACGGGTGTTGAGTTTAAGAGGCTTTTTTTGGATTGCTGCGAAGTCTACAACACAAAAAACATTTGAAGCTACAATGAGGGAAATTAGGCAACTTAGCATAAATGTTTATGACCACTTGATGGAAAGAGATCCAAGCACATGGTGTAGGGCATTTTTTTTTTGGAAGATAGGTGTTGTGATGCCGTAGAGAATGGCATATCAGAATCCTTCAATTCTGTAATGGTAGAGGCAAGGAAAAAACCAATAATAACTATGCTTGAAGAAATTAGAGTCTATGTCATGGAGAGAATGTTCAATCAAAAGAAGAAGGGAGAAAAATTGAACTTGCCAATCTGTCCCTCCATCAGAAGGAGGATTGAGAATTTGAAAAAAGCACAAAGGTTTGTTACTTACTTCAAAAGCTAATTTACTTAAGGTAAAATAATTAATTTTCTATAACATTTCATCACAGGTATTGGGAAGTTACTCCAAGTGGTCCACAACAATATGAGGTCAGATTATTGCATGAAGGATATGGAGTTGACTTGAACAACAGAACTTGTGCATGCAGATCCTGGCAGATTAGTAGGATACCGTGTTTGCATGTCATTGCAGCAATATTGTTTTTGAATGGGAATGTAGAGGACTATGTTTCAGTTTGGTTCACAACAGGCATGTTTGGAAGTTGCTATAGATATACAATAAAGCCAATTAATGGAGCTGATTTATGGCCAACTGTAGTTGCCAATACCATCTTGCCACCAAGGCGTAGAAGGCTGCCTGGGAGACCAAAGGTGAACAGGAAGAAATGTCCTACGGAAAAAGAAGGAAGGCATACTGTTAGTAAGAAGGGAGGGATTCCAAAATGTGGTCACTGTAAGCAAGAAGGTCACAATAAAAGAGCATGTCCATTATTGAACCAAGGTTGGCTTCTTAATTACAATACACATAACCATTTTCTCTTGATTACAATACACAAACACTTTCTCTTGATGCAGTTACAAATGAAGTACCAGAAGACGCGTTTGTGGCAGATGAAGTAGAAGACAATGAGGAGGAGTATGTAGCGGATGACGTACAAGACCAGGAGGAGGAGTATGTGGCAGATGAAGTTGAAGACCATGAGGAGGGTTATGTCGCAGATGAACCTGTTGTTGATGTGGGGGGAAGCAGGGAAAACATTAGCAGTGTGAAGAAGAGAAAAGGCCCTTCTGAGAGAATCATAAAGATGAAGCTGAAGAGAAGGGTGGGCGGTACTGAGGATAATATTGGAAACCCAGTTAATTTAAGTTAGGTCATGTGTTTGTTTATGCCTGAACTGTGAAAGGCACATCTTTTGGTGCATAGTGCACATAAAACTTATGTTTGTTTATGCCTAAAACTATAACAGGCACATCTTTTGGTGCATAATGCACATAAAACTTATGTTTGTTTATGCCTAAAACTTTTAAAGGCACATCTTTTGGTGCACACTGCACATAAAACTATTGTTTAATGTTTGTTTAATGTTAGTTTGCTCAATTACCTTTAGCTTGTTAAATTTTTTAATTAGATGTGGATGTATCAACTGTTGGAAGGGGTAAAATCGTCCAACTTGTACCAGCCGTATGCTGATGTAATCATGTGTTTCTACATCTCATTGATCTCATAATAATACAACATAAACTAGTCGGAAATGACATGTTATAAAACAGAATGAACATTAAAGGGCAGCAAAAGCACCCTTGATTACATTACCATTATGCCCTTCACTGTTATATCAATACCTTCACTGTTATACCAATATCATTTTTTTGTTTTATCAAAAAAACCTTCACTGTTATACCAATACCATTTATTCACTGTTATACATCACCTTTATAGTTACAACTACATTACCATTATAGTTAAAATGTGTTTCAATTCAAAAAACACAAAACAAAGAAAATAGAATAAACATTAAAGGGCAGCAAAAGCACCCTTGATTACATTACCATTATGCCCTTGATTACATTACCATTAAAGCTACAAAAGCATCCTTTTACAAAACACATTGGAATCAACCATTCCATTCATTTTCCCTATACTACATCATGAATTTCACTACAAGCAGAACAAAAAGCATCCACAAACAACATTTTTGAATCTCTAATGTCCTGCTCATTTCATCGAGTTTCTTTCTAAAACTCATACCATCCTCATCTGTCTTCATCTTGTAAGATTTCAAATCATTTTCCAATATTGAAATCTTGACTTCCATTAAGTTTGTTTCTAGTTCTTCTTCATCATCATCAACCCATTTCCAGAACTTACAACTTTCCTTATTTCGATCCTTCATATTCAGGAAAATAAGTCACATAACCAAGAAATTATTTAGGTGATGGAAATAAAAAGCTAGCTTTAAGCTAAACTTACAAAGGAGTATGGACAAACCATAAACTTTTTTCCAGGATTAGCTTTGGTTGTTGATGTCCAAATTCGAGCAATGTACCCACAATCACAATGCTTTCTACCAACATTAGATTTTGAAATGTTGGTTCTTGACTTGGATATGACGGATTTAGAGGAAGAAGAAGACGCCATAGAAGAAGAAGGAGGAAGTCGTTACAGAGGAGTAGAGATGTTTGCCCTAATTTATTTCAACGATGGGTTACAAGGGGGGATATATCCTACCTGTAAACTCCATGCCAACTAGATAATCCACACATTAAGAAATAGATGCCAAGTCAGCCATTCTCATCTCCACCCGGTTACCACACTGAATCAAAGAGCAAAATGTGATTTTAGATGGTATTTTTTGAACAAATTCTTTAGTTAGATGGTATTTTTTAAACATGATATACTTAAATGGTATTTTTTTTGTACAAATTGAAACATAGTTACCTTTTTAAGTCATTTTCCCAATAACAACAAATCAAGGTACCATGTAATTTCTGTTTTATAATTTCTCGTTCAACGTCCCTACGACGCCGTATTCAACGAGTTCTCACTTAGCGGGTGACTATCGTTTACGCACACTGCAAAACGTTAAAACCAAATTCGACCGTCTTCCACGCCAGATCAACAACGAGAAAACCCCCAATTTCCATCGTTTTCGAGATCATATGCTTCAAATCCGATTCAACTATAGTCGCATTCCTTCTCAAATCTAAGGTATCATCTTAACCTAATTCTTTTAGGTTAAATCATGCATATTGAATGAAAACCCGAGGAAGATTTGATTTCAATGCGTTAGATCTAATCGGTTTATATCACGATCCACAGATATGGAAGATGATAATGATTTGGAGCAGGTCACGGGGAGTCCAACAGCTGGAGAGAATGGTTTTGTTCATATAGAGTCGGTTGATTCTGCTCAAATGGATGGCGGTTCAATTGATCAGGTGAGTCCAGTGTTTCTTTAGTTAAATCTTCGATTCCATTATCAACGACTTTAGTAATCTTTAATTTTGGGGTAAATAGTATATTCTACTTGATGAAATTTAGTTGTGATACGATTTTTTGATGTCCAACTAACTAGTTTTCAACTTCAAAATCATCTCAATTCGAGAGCTTCCATGGAAATTTTGACAAATAGATTAAACTTATTACTGTAAGGTTTTACATTTACAATTTAGCACATATTTAATGGTTTATGACCCTTTCCCTTCTCTTGAATGATTTGCCAACACAGTTTCTCGAATCACTTATTGTATCTGTTGTACACCTGTATTATTTGTGTTGATAAGTTAAAGATTAGCAAGCTATCTTCAGGTTGAGCGTCTCGAGCAGGATGATGGAGTAGTGGTAACAGGAGTAGATGCTGTACAGGATGAGCCACTTAATGTAAGGACAGCTGAAGATGTGGGACCCGATGAGTTTGTAGATTGTCCAGATGACTTGGTTTCAAATGAAGCGAGATCCCCTGCTGTTGTCAATAGGCCACACCAACTGCCATTTAGGGATGATGATACAGAAGTTACTCAACATACTGCTCCTGACATTGAAAGGGAAATCCTTCCACAGGACAACGAGGTTGGCTATAACCTTTTCTTCTTCTTCTTCTTCTTCTTCTTCTTCTTCTTCTTCTTCTTCTTCTTCTTCTTCCAATGCCATAGGGATGTGTCAATTGTATTAAATAAGCTTCTCTTGCAGGAAGAGAATGGAGTTCTGATAAAAGAAGTTAGTAATCTTCATCATCTGCTCAAGGCTCTAAGCAAGCAAAAGCCACTTACTGATGGGACTGATGTTGTAGAGGGTGGTGAAAAGTCTGTGTTATCTTTGCATGAGATGGTAAAGGAGTGTTCCAAGTTTATTGAGATTTCTTTGAATGAGCAGTCACATGCTGAGGCCACAATCAGTGAACTCAATGCCACCTTACATATGAAGGATAAAGAGATTGAGGATCTTATGGTGAGGGTCAATGACCACTCTATATCTCAAGATGTAGTAGCACTCAAGTCTGATGAATTATCATCTGTTGATGCCATTGTAGATAGGATTTTATATTCTTTTGCACCTGCCTTTGGCGATGCAGGATTGTCTAATACATCTGTTAGTGAGAAATTATCTCATCTTGAGAGAACTACCTCCTTCTTACTTGAGAAGTACTACAACTTCCTTTCTGAAATCGAATCACATAGCCATTGTTTGGCTGAGGTTAAGCCAGATTTCCATATGCAAAATGGAACAGAGACAGTTTTCATCACTGTACGAGAGGAGTTGCTTGAGTTAAAAAGGAAAGAACTTGAGGTAACCAACAAAAATACCCATTTAGAATATCAATACGGACAGTTCATGGAGCAAATTGACAAAAACAGAGAAACAATTGAGTTTCTAAACACAGAGATCACAAAACTTAAAGGGGAAGTTGAACAGGAGAAGACAAGGTATACTAATACCAAAGAAAAACTTAGCATGGCTGTTACAAAAGGAAAGGCATTGGTCCAACAGCGTGACTCACTGAAACAATCAGTTTCTGAAAAAACCAGTGAACTAGAAAGATGTTTGACTGAATTGCAAGAAAAGTCAACTGCCCTAGAGGCTGCTGAGTTTAGGAATAATGAGTTGGTGCAGACTGCATTTTTGGCTAATTCGCTACAAGAAGCTCTTACACAAAGAGACATGATCCTTCAAAGATGTGGAGAAATTTTATTGCTAAGTGGTGCTGCAGCTGAACTTCAGTCATCAGATATCATTGAAGGGATTACATGGCTTGCAAATGAAAGAAGTAGACTAGCATCCCTATCTGTTGAATTTGAGAGACTCACTTATGCATATAATCTGGCTCAAGATCAATCTTTTAAGCTACAAGATGAAAACCATGCAACAATGGAGGCTGCACGTGTCCAGATTGATCGTTTGACTGCATCATTGTTAGCAGAATCACAGGAGAAGTATTATCTTGAACATGAATATGAAGATTTGACAACCAAGTATGAAGGATTAGAACAACACATAGCTTCTACTGAATCATCGCCTATGGACAATGAAGTACTTGAAAAGATTCAAAGTCTTTTGTATGTAAGGGATCATGAATCCAAGCTGTATGAGCAAATTCTCGAGGAAGAAAAGATGCATAAGTTTCAGTTTTCTGAAGAACTTCGTGGATCAAAAGATGAGAAGAACACTCTGCAAATAAATCTTCAAAGATCCGAAGAGAAAGCCTCATTATTGAGGGAGAAATTGTCTATGGCAGTTAAAAAGGGCAAGGGTCTTGTTCAAGAACGTGAGAATATGAAACAACAAATGGCCGAAAAGAACACTCAGATTGAGGGGTTAACTCTTGACTTACAGAAACAAGAATCAACACTGAGTGAATACAGGAACCAGATCAATAACTTGGAATCTGATCTCCTGCTTTTGAAAGAAGAAAAGGGTCAACTTGAACAGTTTCTATATCAAAGCAATAGCATGTTACAGAATGTACTTGAAACAATTGATGGTATTATTCTGCCAGTTGATCTAAAAGAGCCAGTTGAAAAGGTGAAATGGTTAGCAACATATTTAAGTGAAACCCAAGTCAGCAAGGCACAGACAGAGCAGGAGCTAGAATACATAAAAGATGAAGCTGGTATGTTGACCAGTAAGTTGACCGAAGCATTGACAACCATGAAATCCCTTGAAGATGCAGTATCAGTTTCAGAGAGAAAATTTTCTCAATTAGCTCAAGAAAAGAACGAATTAGACATTTTAAAGACAAACTCAGAACAAGAAGTACAGATTCTAAATGAGGAGATCAGTACATTGAACAAGAAGTTGGTGGAAGTGTTGACAAACTTGAAATCACTTGAAGATACACTCTCAAACTCAGAGAAAACCATCACTCAACTAACT